AAAAAATTACATGTTAAACGGTATATTAATACAAATTAAAAATATAAATAATATGTACATATATAATATGCTTGCAATTAATATCACAAAATAATATATGTAATATTTACATAGATATTGAATTATTAAATATATAATTTAAAATTAATAATATACTATAAAAGTTATTTAAGTTGTATATATTGCAAACAAATATATTAGAACAAGTAGTCATTGTTATATTTAATAAGACTCCTTGTTTTTTCATTAAGAGATTCAATTTTTATTATTATTTTTGTGATTTATGGTCCCTTAAAAAATTAAAAAAAAAAAAAAGTGGTTGAACCGGTTTGACCCACCGGTTCACCGGTTGAACCGGAAAATTGACCGGTTCAATCCGGTTTGAAACGGGTCGACTGCATAACCGATCCAACTTCAGATTCGGACCGACTAGACCACCGGTTCCCGGTCTAACCGGTCCGACCGGCCGGATCGATCCGGGTTTTAAAATACTGCCTTAGACCATATCGATCACATGTCCCTTGAATTGCCCTAGATCATGACATTCAAGTAATTAGAGTTTATTAGGGGACTTGGATTATCCCCAGAAGTTGCATGGTACATTGAAGAGAGAGAAAGGCACAAAGTTGAACTGGGACTTAGTGCAAATAAGATGGCCCTGTATCTTTTTCTCTACTCATTACAGTTAGTCACCGGAGACAGATCATGAGATGAAGATTAAATCATGGTGAGCATTTTATTTACTAAATAGCATTTTCCATATCTAAGTCTCTGCATGTATTGAGACTGTAAAAAAAAAACAATTAAAATATGAGAAATTCTACAGTTATATACTAAATAACTTAGTATTTTCCATGGTGTTACACTTATATTGAATATAATTGTATAATCATTTTACTTTATATACATGCTATATAATACTCATTCATGCATCAGTATGCGAGTAGTCCTAAGTCACTATTTGTTTATTTTATTATTGTTGTGTGTTGATGAGTTGTTAAGTGTAGGAAACATAGCGGGCTATTAAATTATATGAAATTATATTTTATGAATTTATTTTTCTTAAAATTATATGATATTTTTAAAATTATAATTATTATTCAAATATTTTCATTAATAATATACTTTAAATTTTACATATTTAAATTAAAATATTTAGAATTACATTTAGGATATTAAATACAAATTTATAATTTATATGCAATTATATATAATATATACTAGTAGGGCCGAGCAACTTTGTACTTTTATATTTTATTTAAAAAATAAAAAATAAAAAAAATCGAGATTAAGTATTAAAAGTAGTGAAGTAATAAAAATAGTAGATTAGGTAATTGTTAAAAAAATGGTAGTTGCTAAAATATTATTAATTTTTAATTTTTTTTAATAAAAGAAGTATAAAATGGTCTATCAAATGTAGAGACCAAAGATAGTTATTAACATATTACAAGACCAAAATCAAATAATAGAAAGGTATAATGGTCTATCAAAATTTATTCATTTTCCACGACCAAAAATATTTTACAAGGATCAAAAGTAATATTTACAAATTTTAGAAGGATGAAAATCAAATTTTTTACAAAAATCAAAATCAAAATTTATTCATTTTACAAGAATTATAAACATATTTAAAGTTAATATTATTACTAAACACCAAGTTAATTCAGGAGTGGAAGTTGAAGTAGAATGCACTGAGTTTTAATATATATATATATAAATATTAACAACTTATCAATTTAAAGAAATTATGATATATTTATAAATTCCTTCTGTGCCATTTTTATAAACATATTATTCACATATAATATTCATAGTCGATAACTTTTTGATTATTTTTATTAGAATCTCTCTTTTTAATAATATTTTTTTATTTACAAAACATAAATTCAAAATTTTATTTAAAAAGACCGGAATAACACTTAGACGGCTTCAACTTGTTGATATTGAGTTACTTGTACCAAATTTCAAAACAATAAGCAGAAAATATTTATAAAATTTTAGAATTAAAGTAAAGCTTAGCCATGATTCTTTTTCTTTAAATAAAACTCCACTCATTTCAATAAATAGATCAATGCAACTTCATTAGTAAACAATAAGATAATGCTGCATAGTAGCAATATGCACTGCCACAGCAATCGTCATAGGTCTTACACCCAAAGTTTAAAAACCAGGATATTAAATGAACTTCTAACACTGAGAATTTCTTACATACTTGGTAAATTTTCAAAATTGGATCATGATACTACTAAAGTTTCATGTTTCACTAACATGTCCCAAAAAATGCACAAAAAAAGTTTTCAGGAAGGGGTTTTAATATACATAGGTACGATTGCCGGTGTAAATAAATTTTATATTATTATCTAACCCCATATAATCATGTAAGACAAGTTATTATTTTTTATATTAATCATTTTAAAAATTAAATCAATGATAATTTTAATTAATTAATAGTTTAAAATGTTTTACAATATCAATGTCCAGAAATTAAACTAAAAAAAACTTCATTATTTTTAAATTTTTTTAAAAATAAGCCTGCTCTCTAATCTGTTGATTGTTTTGAATCAACTGGTATGTTAATAATTTTACTTTCTGTTGTTTTAAACCATTCAAGTGTATTAATGTGACTGGGTTGAATTTATTCTTAACAAATATCCGAAATTTTGCAATTTAATTTTATATTTACAGAATTTCTTACAAAACTCAATGCCAAGTTAAGATATTTTTGGTGCGAAACTTAGAAGTTTCCTACATTACAAGTCACAAGAACATAAATTAAATGTCTGATAAAGCATTTTTAGCAGCAGAATAAAAACCCTTTTCTTATCTTATCCTTTTGAGATAGCACTAGCATGCAATGTCTTTGACTCTTGGTAGATACACATACGAAGTAGGAAACAAACAAAAAAGAAACCTCAAAGAACCAATGGCTATGATCCTTAACAGATTTTAATTTCATCATCCGAAACCAGTCACTCAGATCCTTCACAACAACACATGTCAGTACTCAACAAAAGATAGAGAGACACAACACAAGAAGGAACATGTCAACCCAATTGAACCATGTCTTGAGAGTTTCAATTTTAAAGCACAAGACAACCCAATCAGAGACTCATTTGAGAGCCCCAAGATTTAAAGTGATCAATGCAACGTCCTCACCAAGAAGTGCAAGGCAGCTTATAGAGTCCGACACAGTGAGGCCCATAAGGCCCAACGATGCTTCCGCAGTTATGGACTCTGAGGGCTTTGTTCTCCTTGATGTTAGGCCAAGTTGGGAGAGGGATAAGGCACGTGTGAGGGGGTCCCTGCACGTGCCGATCTTTGTGGAGGACGAGGATAACACTCCTGTGACTCTGCTTAAGAAGTGGGTGCATTTTGGGTACATTGGCTTGTGGACTGGCCAGTACCTCACTACTGTGAATTCTGAGTTTCTTAGTCAGGTGGAAAATGCAATTCCTGGTAAGGATGCCAAGGTTCTTGTGGCGTGTGGAGAAGGGCTAAGGTGAGTTTTAAGGAATTTTTTTTTGTTTTTTCATAGTATTGTTATTTAGTTATTATCAAATTGTTAAAATAATCATTGACTAACAGAAGTCATGTCTCACGAATTCAGATTAATCTTTAATCGTTAATTTTAAATTACTACATGAATTATGTCTATGTATAAATTTTTTTTTGTTATTGAGAATAAAGTCAGACAATCTTTTTAAATAAAATTTCAGATTTGAATTTTGTACTTAGAAAATGTAGTTGTGAGAGCAAATTCTACTAAATGTAACTAATTAGATTGATTTGTATTTCACAGAATCTATAAATATTTAGTAAAAAAATGATTATAAATAAAAAAGAGCAAATTACGGTTACATGTAGGTTTTATTCAGATTACATGTATCCTTCTCTTTTAACATTTGTAGCAACTTATTCAGGGATTCATGGTATAATGTGCACGTATAATACGTAATGTATTTCAAAAGGTTAAGGTTGGAGGAAAATAAAGAAGAAAAAGTATCAAGGAAAATTTGACAGAACCTCATAGGATAGGACATGGGTGTAGTATACTCAATTATATATAGCTTAGAATTTTGTTTGGAAATTAAAAAAAAAATGGTTCCTTGCTCACTTGATTGAAATGAAGTTGTTCCGGTTCTTGGTGAGAAAATTTGGTAATTTTAATAGTAACTGATATGATTCAATTGCCAGACATGTCCCAAACTAGAAGTATGGTATTATAATGCGGAGTTTATAAGACTTTGGACTCTCCATCTACAACAATTAGCTTTTGTGGTGTCACTGGTGTGGTTCTCCCAATGTTCTTATTAGTTAATATGAGAACCTTCCATGTCTCGTAGCTGCAAACGAGCAACACCAGTAGTGGTACTAACATTGCAGTGTTAGTTCAAAATTAGTCAAAGGGACTAGTGCACAAGAACGAGGTGGGATGTTAGGATCCAATTGTACCACATTAAAAGTATGAGATTCTAGTATGAAATTTATAAGACTTTATGTTTTCCACTACAACAATTAGTGTTTTGAGGTGTGGTTCTCTCATGGTTCTAATCGGTAACCAATGATCATCTTAGTTTTATCAAGTCACTTAATGAAAGTAGATCCAATTAACTTTCTTCAGAAAGAATCTATTTATCTTTTCTTGTCTGTTATGCATATGTAACATTAAGATTTACAAGCTTCTAAAATTGTCACACCTAATTTTATAGTTAATAAACTCTTTAACACTAATCATCCAAGAAAAGCAAGTTGATTCTAAAATTGTTGGTTTTGGTGAGTGATTCAGGTCCATGACAGCAGCTTCAAAACTGTATAATGGAGGTTACAAAAATCTGGGATGGTTGGCTGGAGGCTTTAATCGTTCAAAGGACAATGATTTTCCAGCAGTAGAAGGAAAAGAGAAGCTGCAACATGCTACAGTTGGAGGAGTGTCTTACTTGTTCCTTCAGTTGCTCATTTTTCTGCAGGCTGTGGATTAAGGCTAAGCTATTAGCAGTTATTTTCACAGCTTATTCATGTTCATGGTTGTTGACTTGTTGCAAGAACATTTTGTTCAACTTCCATCTAAATTAAGACTGAAATTTTGTAGATATTATTCATGCCAGGTTCCCATATTTCACAGATCATGCACTTACAGAAGTAGTTTGTCATTTATCACTGATTCACTATCAATGTTAGATATCTATTTTTAATATCATATATTTGTAGTGTGAATATTCCAGTTCATTTTATGAGCTTCCTAATCTTTGTTTACTAAAGTGGTTCATTTTGGTTTATTTTTCATTTTCAAAATACTGGCACAATAACCCTTAGTCCCTTGTATATTATTAGGCACCAACTTCAAGAGAGTGAAAGGCCACAAAGGTGATTATTTGCTACTCTGCCTCATTAAATGGTTTCTTACATATTTCCCTGTTGAGAGAGAAATTCTACGGACAACTTTTGGTGAATTAGTGGATGACCTTCTATTGTTGATTTCCATAGCCGAATGAGTTTCATTTTCTTTGCCAGTAGTATGTAACTGTTTTTATTTTATTTATTTATTTATCTTTTATAAGGAGGTATAACTTCTTTCTATCAAGTCACTTCCTATAAATAAGAATAAGAGTTAATCACTTATACACTGTCAGTGTAAAGTTTTTTTACACTAACAACCAATTATATTTCTTAATTGTGTCATATCACTATTAAAAATAAATGTGTTTACAGTGACATGACACAATTAAGAAAATATAATTAGTTGCTAGTGTAAAAAAACTTTACATTAACAGTGTACAGATGATTAACTCTAAGAATAATGTGTTATCTCTAGTTGTGATTGCATATTCAAAGTAATAATTGAAATTCGATCATGACTTTTGACTTTTAAATTTTTATTTATTTATTATTTATTTATGTTTTCATTTGTAAAATCTTATTTGAGACAATTAAATGTTACTTTAAGAAAGAATGAGATTGCTTAAGACTAAAGAAGCCCAAGTCCTATACCCCTTTCGAGTTTTAATTTTTTTACATATAATTTTATAAAATTTCAATTTAAATTAGTAAATGATAGATTTTATTATTTTATTTCCAATTAATCTATTTAGTAAAATCATATAATTTAAATATATATTTATACATAAACATTATTGTAGATTATCTGAAAACTTTTATTACCCAATTAATTTTTTTTAGAAAAAATTAGTTTATATTTTCTTAAAAAATACATTAAAATGAATATAGAGATTAAATTTCATTAAGATAATATAATTCATAGAAATAATATTTTAATAAAAATGGCAAACCTGAGATCACACATTCAATTAAAGACTAATTATTTTAATTTTGATTATTTCGTATGTATATCAAATGCATTTATTTTATTCACAATTTATTTTAAAAATTAAAATATAAAAGATTTAAGTATGTTTTATGTAACATCCTATTTTTTAAAAATAAATAATAAATAAATTTCTAATTAGAGATAAAAAGAAAATATTTTATTGATAAAATAAAAGGGAGAATGAGCTCATCAAAAGTTTTTGAGCTAAACTCTAGGTCCAATTTGGATGTTAATTCAAATAGGAGAATTTAGAAAGTGTTAATTCATTTTTTGCCTGTATCCAAAAACTCTAAGAGCTTACATGAGGAGAAACAAAGAAGGTCGTGGGGGAAAACACATTGACAGTAGAAGTTACTAGAGGGACATTGCTTCTAGAGACTCATCACTTTAGATGGGGAAGGAAAATTATCAAGTTCTAAGTATGTATGAGAGATTCTAGAGACTCATCAGTTTAGATGGGGGAGGAAAATTATCAAGTTCTAATTATGTATGAGAGATAAGGGTAGAGAGGTGAGCTATTTGACGAGGTTTCTTGAGTATGCAATTGATTAAAACTATATTATTGTTGTATGCTATGATTCATATTGGTTTAGATAAAATAAATTGATATTGAGATTGTGTGTTTTGAGGGTTAGGGTTATTATGTATGAATTATGGGGGTTTTGAGTGGAAGATTTAAAGATTTTTTGTGATTTGTTTGATTTTGAAAATTTTGGTGTAGACACATTTTGGTATTTAGATGAATGCTCTCTATGAGATTAACTAAATAAGATTTTATTTTCTAGGTTCGATAATATACATTTTGGGTTATAGTTTAGATATAAGAATTACGTAAAAATATTATATAAAAAAACAAGTGAGTTATGTGAGTCATAAAATGAGTCTCACATTGTGTGCACGAAACATAACATTTGACACTTATAAGAATATCGAAAGACCTTAGATGGCTGAATTAGGTTTCGTGTTATTCATAAGAGTTACAAACTAGGATGTTAGATTTTCAATGGCATTGTAATCACAAAAAAAAAGGTCTAGAAATCAAGTTATGATTAAATTAGCAAGTAAATGTTAGACTGTTAAAGTTAGACTTAAATACTGCAATTTTTTAATTTTTAAAAAATAGAAGATTATAAAATCAACTCTTAAGATCAACATAAAAGTTATAGATAATTATCTTAACTTTATAATAAAATTAATATAAACTTGATAGCATAGGTACATCTCTATATAACACAGTTAGACCATACGATGTTATACAAACTTAAGATAAGAATAAATAATTTGAGTTATATTGGTATATTGTTTTATTCCTTAAGTTCATATATATTATATGAGTAATGATAATATATAATATTATGATATTTAATGATGATAATGTTTGAGGTTCGATGATGATGATGTTATGATTGAAATATTATGATAATGATATTATAATGAAGAATGTTATAATATGTGACGAATAAATAATGTTGTGGATTAAACCTTGTCGAACATTATGCATATTCTTTTAATTATTTTATGGACTATTGAATCATGAGGAAGAGTTGTGACCGTTTACTAATAAATGGAGTTAATGAATAAGAGTATGTGAATTGATGTGATCTATTGTGATATTGTCTATTTGAGATACTTTTGAATGTTTGTGATGAATGTTATGAAGTGATAATTTATGAGAAATTCATGATGTTTGCGGACTAACACTCAAGGAGTTGAGGATGCAGTTGTGTGGTTGAATTGTTTATTTGAGTTCATGCATTTCATATTTTTTTATGGGATAATGTGAGTCTATGTAGATGAGTTGTCATAGGTTATCTACCTATGCCCTAGGAGTACTATAGTGGGGAAACCTCTATCAAGAATGGGAGGCTACCATGACCAACTACAACACTTCGATAGGGTCCTGGTAAACATCCCCTAGAAAGGTTGTTTGGGGGGATCATTGTTGTGGAGTGGTCCCTACACTATTCAATAGGGTGATCCCATTCCATTACTCTTAGTCTATTTTGTACACTCGATGATGATGAGATTGATACCACATGCATGTAGAATTAGGAACATACATCTCATGAGTCTCAACTGCTGAATATGATGTATTTGTGATTGATGGAATAATAATGATAAATGCAATGTAATATGTTAATATATTAGTAATATTGTATGAGAGAAATTGATGAAATTGTACATACATGATGTAATTTTGTATGAATTGTGTGTGTGGCTATCCTTATGCTTCGTATATGGTGTGATGGATGAGATGTATTATTACTTCTCGTGTTTGTATGTTTGTATTTGGGTTGAACACCATTTGCAAGAATAGAATAAGTATAAGATGATGAGTTTAAAGAAATAGTACAATAAAGACAAATATTGCTCTAATAGTAACATCAAGAGTGAGTTTTAGGATTAATATTTGTTTAAGTTGGATTTCTTTTAAGTTGCTTTATTATTATACCTTATTTGATTTAAGGAGATGTTTTATTCCTTTCACTACTACAAGATGTATTATCTACATCGGTTCTACGAGGTAATCTACATCGGTTCGAAAACCGATGTAGAATAGGGCGACGTAGAAATACATATACTTCTACATCGATTTTAAAAATCCATGTAGATTTGTACACAAATCTACATCGGTTCTATTGACAACCGATGTAGATTGTATTTTTTTTATAAAAAAAATTTCATTTATTTTTTATATTTTTTCTGATTACCTGTAATAAACATATATATATATATA